GAACCGAAAAGCGGCCACGAAGCGCACATTTGCGCTATTTATGGTTTTGGCATAAAATCTAAACATCAGCCCAAAATTCGGTTTAGATATATATTATAGAGTTCTGTTTTGACCTACCAAATTTTGTTCGGTTCGAGGTATAAACCCGATCTGGCCGACCTACATCAACTTCGTTGTTTTTGGTGCAATCGACTTGAAATTCGGTTTGTTTCAGGGACCGAACATAACAGTTATTGATGCAAACTGTCATGGAAAAATTCATTATAAAGTAAATGTTCTACAACTAAGTTATACATACCAATCGATTTCTTTTTTCACCGAGACTCAAGTTTGAAAATAAATTTTTATTTGCAAATTTGTATGCAAAATTAAAAAAAAAATAACAATAATTTTTGATTTTTATATTAAAAATCCAAAATAATAATTATTTTTGATTTTTATATTATATGTCTTAGATAACAGTTATTGAAGCCTCTTATTTATAAAAGTCATCAATAAAAATCAGTCAGCGACTTTTACTTTTTAAATCATTCGTTCGTTTAAAAGTCTTTACCATTTTTCGTAGTTAAGAACGTGTTGGGAAAGAAAAGTTGACTACGACTTATAAAAATGACTTTTATAAATACGATTTAAAAAAAGGTCGGTTCGGTAACTCTTATCTGAGACCTATAATTTAGAAATCAAAAACAACTGTTATTTTGGATTTATAAAGTAAAAGTCAGAAATAACGGTTATTTAAGAACTAATTAAATAAAAGTCAAAAAATAATTGCTAAAGAGCGATTTTTTTAACAAAAGTTGTAACTGGTAAGGTCCCTGGTTTGTTTACGTATTATGGAGTCCTGAGTTGGCCTTGAAAATCTGATTCGTTGAGCTTAATGATATGCTAGTTTTCTTCCTTGTTGTTGTTGTTGTAGCAACATACAAATTCCCCAAAGACTTTTTGGGGAGTGTTGCTGGAGTGACAGTCCTTGGCCAGATATAAATCTGGGTCGTTCCGGTTATGTAGACCCGACTGTCGTGGGAACGATTTTTTTTTTCTTCCTCATTTTTGATGCTTTTAAATTGCTGTCGTCTGCGACTTGAAAGTGTCAAAAGGGCAGTGACAACAACAAAATAATCATGTTTTTAAATAGAAGCATTGCTTTGTCGGCTTTAGGCCTTAACGTGGAAAACGCTTACTTAAATTTAATTTATTTTATTTTATTTCTATAAAATTTTTGCCAGACAAATATCAACTAAGATATGAATGTTATGCACATATTTATTTATTTCCTTTACTCTGTAACAAAAAAAATATAAAAATAAATTGAATTTTTTTTTAACTATTTAAAATTTTTGGTTAAGCTAGTTCGATAGCACCTATCTCCGTTTCCATTTATTTGAAAACCGGAAGCGTTCCGAATTCCCGTTTCTCCTTGGAACCGGACTCGACTGAACCGGTACTTTAAATACTCGGAACCGCACATCACTACCACGAACGTAATGGAAGGATCAAGTGCACTCGGAGTGAGGCAATTGCCGAGGTTTTTTTTTAATCTCGATCCAAACCGACGAACGGTTTTAAGGACAACGAAAAAGAAGAATCGTTAGTAGTAAATTTCCCTACAGGGTCTTGACAGTACATTTATATCAGTGTACACACACACAATTATGCGTGCATCAATGTATGATGTATTCTCACATTTGTTGGCAGCCTTGCCCTTATGGCTGGGCGTAACGCTCTGTTGGATGGATGGAATTTTCAACGAATGCTTTTGATCTTTTCAACCGAATGATTTTTTTAATAATCATTTTTACCAAGAAATTTTTATTACATTTTGACATTTTGTGTTTTAACAAAAGTTTCAACAGTTAATAAAACGTTGAGCCTCTTCACAACTTGCGGTTCGTATTTTGCCACACATACATATGTACATGTAGGTATGCAAAGTAAATATATTTCAACTGCAGTTACCTTTTTCATGAATTGAAAATGAAATAATTAAAGCATGTACAAATGTACATTAGGGTGGTCCAAAATAAGCTAAGTCGGAATTTTTATCTCACCCCATAGGATTGTGAAAAATATATCCAATTTTTTATTTTGAAATCAAACAAGTAAGAAAGTCTAAGTTCGGGCGGAGCCGAACATTAAATACCCGGCGCAAGTATTAAATATATATTTTTTCACCTTTCCGAAACCTACCGCTACATGGTAAGCCGGGGTGTATCAATTTTGAGTAAATTAGCGTCCTTAAATTTCGAAATATTGAAGTTTCAAGCATTTCTGAAATTTACCGTTATATGAAAACCGGCCGTAATTTTAGTCCGATTTCAATAATTTTTAAAGTTTTGCTTTTATGTGGCAAGCACAATAACCATACCGAGCTTGGTACAAATTGCTAGAACGGTTAGCGAGATACATATATGTGATCACAAGTGGGCGGTGCCACGCCAATTTTCCAAAATTTTATAATAACATATTTCTTGGTAAATAATTGTTGCAACCACCTATTTTGAACAAATTAGCTTCAATATTTACTGATTTATCGAAGATTTTGTATCTCTCAAAATTACCGTTATATGGGATGTGGGCGTGGTTATTGTCCGATTTTAAAAATTTTCAGCCATTTGGTATACTGTACCAGGACCAACAACTGTGCCAAGTCTGGAAGAAATCGGTGGAGACGTTGCCAAGATATACACATGTAGCCATAAGTGGGCGTGGCTGCGCCCATTTTTCAAAAATTTATAATATTCTTATTTTTCGTCTAAAAATTATTGTAAATATTAATTTTGAGTGAATAATCTTCAGTAGTTACTAAAATATCGCAGTTTTCGTTTTTCTGAAAATTACCGTTATATGGGAGGTAGGCGTGGTTATTGTCCGATTTCGCCCATTTTCAATACCATCCGTCCTACGCCCAAAAGAAGTTCACGTACCAAGTTTCGTTAAGATATCTCAATTTTTACTCGCGTTATCGTGTGCACAGACGGACGGACGGACGGACAGACAGTCACCGCTTAATCGATTTCTCTTTTCATTCTGATCATTTATGTATACATTTGTCTATATCTATCTCGATTCGTTTTGCCTGTTACAAACAACCGTTATGTGAACAAAGTTATAATACCCTTGTGCACAAGTGCGCTCGGGTATAAAAACCCTAAGTCATAAGTATTTCAATTGCATCATCCGCGTCTTTCCTTTCCATGTTTACGCTTTGAGTACAAAATCACTTATGAGCCGCTCGCCGTTTGTAGCAAACGACCAGCATGTTGGTGCTCATGTGCGCGGATATGCTCGTCGTGTGTAGCTACTATAATAGTAGCCATACATAGTAACCATACTTTAATACTAAAGATTTTTTATTTATCACCCCTCATTGCATTTTGTGGCATTTTCGAGGATTTTGGCGGACCTATATAATATAGTTACTATGAAAAAATGGTTAAGTAAATATTTGTGTATTATTGTTAGGAATCTCCTGAAGAGACACAGAGTTTTGCGATCGAAAAATATTGATTTTCAAGAATTCTATACCATTTCTACGAAAAGTTCCTTTTTCCTATATAAAATACATGGAAAACTTTGAGCGCTTTTAACGACTTTTAATGTTTTTTTTTTCAAAATAAAGAAATAGCGGTATATTTTTTTCGGTATAGAACAATCCTAAGGGGTGAGAGCATGCACATGCATTTTTTTTGACCACCCTAATGTACATGCAATATATATGTATATGTCAGTAAAAGTACGTATTTATGTAGCTTTCGGGAAATTGAATGTTAAATTATAAATATACATTTAGTCTTTCGAAGGATGTTTTTATTGCACTAGAAGGGGGGGAGTATGTTTTCTGAATACGCAATTCGTTTAAGAAAGTTTTATGTGTAGAAAAAATATTTTTTTTTATGCACAAAATGAATGAAAGTGTACTATGCATACACATATGTATACATATGTACATATGTATCTCCAACACAACTATTCCCACCACATTTGTGTGTGTTATCAGTGATTTGCCAAACCGAAAAATTTTGATTATTTTGATTTTCGTCAAAAAGATGCATAATTGCTCCATTTTGAAATTTTAAAATGCTTTCGCTTCGAGGTTTTGCTAACTACGGCTGCATAGGGCCAACGATTTAATTAAAAGCAAACAATTATTACGGCAATAGATACAGCAACTACGGACAAATATACATGCATACATATGTACATAGATTTGTGGCAAAAGCATTGTCCATGGCATACGCATACCCAGAAGCTTGGCAATATGCGCTTGTGGCAACGAAAATTAATTTGACTGCAACCACTTTGGCGAAATGAATTAGATCAGCGTTGTTGTTGATTTGATTCGCATACACCTTTGCCGTTCGCTTCCATAGACGCACCTAAATTGATATTTATTTGCTTAGCAAACAATTCAAGTTTTAATTGGAAATTTATTTGGCCTTTTTTTTGAAATTTTTGTGTGTTGTATGAGTAAGTAAGTATTGCTATACCCCAAATTGCCGCTTGAAACTAATATGGAAACATGAAATACTAGATATTGGTGGGCGCTAACCGTGGCTGATCTTGTTTAAGCTATTGACTGAAAATGCAGAACTCATCAGCCCATTACTGACTGCCGCATTCGGCAGAAATACCTCATTCGGCAGAATTGTGTGCGAAATTTGTTTTCTGGTTACGAAAAAAAAAAACAAAATGTATCTACTAGCAAACGGATATAATTCAAATAATAAATATTGCAAAATGTGATGAGCGCGCACCGCTAAGGTAACAGGAGAAAAATCACATTTGTTGGCCGCAGCTAGTGGTCATATTTATAATAAGTAGAATTAAAAGTAGGATACTTCAGAGAGCGCTCAAGGAATTAAGTTCTTTCGCAGAAGACCGCGAGCTCAACGTCAGTCTCTAGAAAAGGTCACAAATTGTATTCACCAAAAATAAAAAATAAAACTTATTTTCAACCAATGCACATATCTTTATTTTAACGCGAAGTATTTGGAAGTCATATGACGCATGAACTTCGGGAACTTGAAGATATTGGCGGTCAGATAATTGCATACGCCGATGATATTGTAATAGCTATCTCGGGTAAACATCTCTCAACATTAACAGATCTGATCCAAAGATCCCTCAACAATCTATCCCTGTGGTGTAACAGGCGAGGACTGGCAGTGAATCCTGAAAATACAGATCTTGTACTGTTCACTAGGAAGCACAAGATACCTGATCTCGGGAACATAACTCTAGAGGTCGATACCCTCGCAATAAAGGAAGCGCTCAAATATCCAGGTCTCATAGTAGATAGGAAACTAAACTGGGGGCCCAAAGTTGCAGATAGAGTGCGCAAAGCAACAGGGAAAAATAGGGAAAAAATGGCGGGTGGAACCCAAAATAATGCACTGGCTATACACGACGGTGGTTAGGCCATACCACTATCACGGTATAGTGGTATGGTGGGACACCCTTTTGAAAGGCGTAAACTTCAAAAAAAAAAGGGACAAGGTTCAATGGCTTGCCTCCACACTCATAACTGGTGCGATGAGAACAACACCATCCAAGGCACTGTATGGCCTACTGAATTTTCTTCCGGTGGACCTACATGTCAAACAAGTCGCCGCAAGTGGTGCGGCAATTCGAACGAACATTCTAAACAAGTGGTCAAATATCAGTTATGGTCACGGTAGAGTACTAACGGAGTTTCCGGAGCTTCCCGGATTGGTGGACTATGCACTTCCGGAACCTGCATCCACTACGGCATTCGCGACCCTCCTACCCTTAAGGGAAGAGTGGAACCATGACGTTGTAAGTAGTGGAGAGTCCATCCATGTATACACAGATGGCTCAAAGCTCGAGGGAAGGGATGGACGAGGTGTATACTCCCAACAACTGGGAATCTCCCACAGCTTTCGTCTCCTGGACCACTTTAGCATTTTTCAGGCCGAACTGATGGCAATCGACACGACCACGAAACGGTAAAATATGATATGATATCCCAAGTTGATATCTATATCTTCACTGGCAGCCAGGCGGCAATAGAGTCCCTCACGAAGCAGTCGAAAACCTCCATGGTAGACATGAAATGCCGCGCATCTCTTAACGATATGGCTGAGTCATTTCGCCCAAAAGTGACATCCGGGTCCGGGTCACTGCAGCATAGAGGGGAATTGTAAGGCCCACGAACTGGCGCGACTTGTCACGAAACTTCTTTTTGAGGATATAAACGATGAAATAGGAATACCCTTACAAATTTGTAGGCTACTTATCTCCGAGAGGTTTACTAAAGTAGCGAACGACAGGTGGCAGGACGAAATCACCTGCAAAACTGCCAAACAATTGTGGCCGGTGCTCAGCGCCAAATGCACTGGCCTACTACTGAGTCTAAATAAGCCCAATATTGGATTATTAGTATCTGTCATAGCAGGGCACTGCTTAATTGACAAGGCCTAAGTTTACATGGCTTCTGTAGAAGCTGTCAAGATGAAGAGGAAGAGGAAACGATTCCGCACCTGTTGTGCCAGTGCACTGCTCTATCCAGACGAAGACTTTCTACTCTCGGTAGGCAATTCTTCGACAACTTGGAGGAATTTTGATGCGTCAAAAACAGGAATCTTCTAAAATTCGTTCAAAGTTCGAAATGGTTTTAGCAGGGATTGGGACTTGCGGCATCACAATGGGCCGTGAGCCTAAGTGTGTCTTATAGACGACTGCGACAACCTAACCTAACCTAACACATGATTTGATTATAGTTACATTATGCAGTTATAGTTAGTTGAATCTTTTCTCAGTGTGGATTTCAAGCCGTACGATTTTCAGCACATGCCCGTATAATTTATTGCTTGCGTAGAAGCTTAAAAGGTACCTTATTCTGGTAACTACTTAGCTTAAAAGTTATAGTAGTTGCAACTTTAAAATTATTGTACTCTGGCCTTAAACAATTAGGTTTACTCATATATTTAAGTGAGTATTAGTATGGAATTTCGGTGTAGTAGATGATTACTTTTTGTATTCATCACATTTTAAATCGAACTTGTGACGCTATGTCGATTGGAGTGGGCATTAAGCTCCTTTCAGCAGTATAAGTCGCCAGGTCTAGACGATATTTTTTCCCATACCCCAAGGACTATAGACCCATTGGCCTAACATTGATTCTTTAAAAGAGCCCGGAGAGCTTACACGAAAGGAAAATCGGCAGATACCGCTCTACACAATATTGCTAGACGAATAGAGGCCGATCTAGAGAACGGAGAATACGTAGTGGGGTCCTGCTCGTCATAACAGGGGCATTTATTAATGCCTAAATGCAAGCCATTTTAGACGGAATTACGACTAAAGGGGTCCACCCCTTAGTTTCGGACTGTATTAGCAGTATGTTGAGCTGCAGAAATGTTTCGGCACAGTGGGACAGGCACAGGACTAACAAGGCGGTTAACAGAGACAGGAATTTAGAGAAAATGGAAGTAGGATCTACTTACTGAATGTCCGATTGATATTTTTATCATAGTAATAGCTCATAAATTGGCCAAGCAGTACGTTAGATGCATCTTTGTATTAATATCGAAAAACGAGATCAGGTACTCTTCACCAGGAAATACAGGGTACAAAACTAGCTTAAACCTAAGCCGGATGGTGTGACCCTCCAACTGAAGGTAAGCACCAATCACCTCGGAATAATACTCGATAGGCAGCTGTCGTAGCAAGCTTAATGTGGAGGTGAGGGGGAAGAAGGCATTAAATGTGATGGAATTTTGGTAAATTTTTGTTTCCGGATTTCCACTCTCAGAAAACAAAGGTTATATTTTAAAATTAATATTCCCTTTTCTCCCAATCTTTGGTGTGATTTTTCCATTGTTCGAAAACTTCTTTTCGCGAAATTATGCGAAAAGAAGCTGAAAATCAAAAATTAATAAAATCTAAAATTACATTATGTAATTTACAAGGACGTGAACCGGATAAAAAATTTGGTCGGTTCGGTTCAGCGGCTCGAACCGTTGTTGCACTTTTGGATTGGTTCGTCAAAGCGGTTTTTTTGGTCTTTGAACCGGGGTTTCGGTTCGGTTAAACGGTTCGAAAAACAAAAAAATAACGGGCAAATTTATGTGTCAAGTGTCAAGTGCAACAACGCACAAGGGTAAGGGTCAAGTGAGATGGGCTGCCTTCACATTTGATATTGTCACATAATAAAAAAACGTGGTAGGTATTACCATGTTTGGCAAAAAGAAAAAAAGTGGGTACATTTATCTATTGAAAATTAGTTGAAACGAACCTTTAAACCTTTAAAGAAAGTGGTTCGGTTTTCGGTTCGGATCAAACATTTGGGGAAATTAGTTAATTAATAGAAAAAAGCGGTTTTCCGGTTCAAAACCGGTTCGGTTCAAAACCGGTTCACGTCCCTGGTAGTTTACATAGGCATATTTGCAAAGTTGCGCGAAAAGTTCCAATTATATATTAGAAAACTATATAAAATTCTGTAAAAATAAATTATAAGAAAATTTTTTATTTGTGACTTTTACTTTTCCCTCCTTAAGCCCAACCGAGTTTGCTTAATCATTTGTCACCAAGACTTTTTTCTACCTGCCTCCATATCGACTGCTGAGTGGAAGATCGATCTATCTCGGCCGCCAGTTCGAAAACGCCCTATCTCAAAAAAGTTTTCAAGAACGCCCTATTTCAGAATTTTATTGAAAAATATTCTATCTCAGAATTTGGTTGAAGAACGCCCTATCTCAGAATTCGGTTCAAAAACGCCCTATCTCACTTCAAAATGTATAGAAAGTGTGCTGATATAGGGCGTTTTTGAAACGAATTCTGAAATAGGGCGTTCTTGAACCAAATTCTGAAATCGGACGTTTTTGAAAAGTTTTTTGAGATAGGGCGTTTTCGAACTGGTTGCCGAGATAGGTCGATCTTCCACTCAGCAGTCGATATAGTCGAAACACTGTGCATTTGTTTCTTCTTTTTTTTATCTTGTCTAATGTTGATCGTGATGTAGTCAGTAATAAAAATATTTTCATTGGACGCTATGGTAATTGATTACACTTACACACAAATACATTTATACTAGGGTGGTATTTAAATAAAAACATCATGGGGCACACCTTCATTTTGTTTCTGCGTACCAAATAACGACATCCACGAAAATAAATTTTCTTCTAAATTTTAGAAATCGCTGCCAGGTTGTGAAAACTTTTTTATAATTTTTTTTCGAATCGCCAAAATTCGGAAACATTTTTTAATTTTTTTAAATGTGTTGAAAATTTTGAAATTTTAGTTTAATATTTTGCATTTAGAGCAGAATAAAGCGGTGGACCATACGATATTTAGATGTTGATGTTTTTAAAGACCACCCTAATACATACTTATCTGTATACTATAGTGTAGTTTTAGTACAACAATAAATATCATAAAAACTTTTAGATAATATTGATATTATATAATTTTACGGGCTGTAGTACTTAATTTCAAGGGGTCATATATTCCTGCTTGTAGACACAATCAATTTTTTTAAGTGAAGTTCTATAAAACTATGTTCACATATCAATATTATCACAATCAAAGCTCGTTTTTTAATCACCCCGTTTACACAGGCAAATCTCAGATTATTAGCCGTCAAATTTGTTGTGCTTGTTATTCTCACATCTCAAGGAAAAGTTATGTTTCTTCTCTGTGCGACCGTGATCACGTTTTTATGCTATAATAAGCAATATAAATATATTTTAACTTAACATTTTATTAAAAATACCTTTACAAACCTCTTCCTTGCTAGCTTAAATTTTTGTTTACTTTTACATTTGGCATTTCTACTCTTTTTTGCAAAAACAATCGATAAAACTTGGATGGACACCGAAAAGTTATCGGTTTAATCTGAGATTATTTTATAATTACAGATTAACAAGGGACGAATTTTATATGGCTAATCTCTTGTTATAATTACAGATTAGGGTGTTAAGCTCGAAAATGAGGATAATCTACTTATATGTGAACCTAGTATAACACAATAAAATTAATAATATAAAATACAAATTTTAAAGTATAGGTATACCTTTATAAGTATGAATGTATGCAGTATCCATGTGCCCGTATTGCAAACGCCAATACTACTACATCCTCTTTTTCCAGCGCAAAATTCCAACCACCTCCACCTGTGCAGCATATCCCCTATCAAATATTTGCTGTGATTTTATTTTCTTTTTATTCTCTTGCCGCAATAATTTCTTCTATAAAACCTCAAAACAACCCCAACAGCATACATTTTTTTTCTTTACCTCAAAGAGATGATGATGTTCGTTAGCAAATTAATATACAGTTATATCGTTCTGCCAACAACAAAAAGCCAACATAATTGCCCAGAGATCCCCGTCCACAAAAGGCAAGAGCTAAATATTACATCAGTGAAGTTTATAAATGTCCATGCCAAGCGAAAACAGAAAAAAGAAAAAAAAAAAACAGGAAGAGCAATGGCGGCGGATCCTGCCCTCGAACTCAAAGTTATGGATATGAGTGCGCGTAT